TCTTCCATTTCCCTCGGACAGGAAGTGAAGGGAAGTCCCCCCGAGGGGAAACAGATGACAAAAAGAGCTGACGGGGTTATAACTATCCCTTGCTTTATCCACAAGTAAATAAAAAGTGTTGGCTTATGTTCTACTTTTATTAGGCCAAGAGATACAGGCATACATACAATCCCTCAAATAATATTTCAGTTCTGTGTGGTTGCTGGAAAGCTGAAATCACATGATAACTTTTTATATTGTGGGAAAACTATAAGATCTGGGCATTCCCACCAAAATTCCAAGATCTACCCAACTGCTTCTATTACAAAGAGGGCAGGGGGTACAAAATGACTGCATTAAGCTGCCCATACACCTTGCCATCATCAGACGAAACATTTTGATTTTCGAACAGCGGCCCCATCCTGCCCCGATTATCGCAAGGTTGGATCAGCAGTAATTAAAAGAAAGGCACCTGGACGAGTTGCGGTAATCAACCGCACGTATTTTGGTCTGCGCATGTGCAGTGTAAATCGTACGAATTTTGACGTACGGAAACGCCACCAACCTTGCGAAAATCCTACGATGGACCGAAGTTTTCTAACCTGCTGGATAGTCAAGTCGATTGATTGTACAGTATTTGCGGTTGTACACTCCCCATCAACCGTACGAATATCGGACAAAAATGCGATCGCATACGAAAATCGGCTGATATTCGTAAGGTGTATTGGCAGCTTTAGATATAACTAATGGGAGCTCCGAGTGACATTAGATGATGGTGGACAGTTCAACCCATCAACATCAGCTGGAAGCCTTGCACCAAATTCACAAAAATTTGGCAACATTTTAATTATTAGTATGACAGATGCAACAATTTAGATCGTTCTTATCTGCACCATTTGATACATTGCCCTTACTCTCCCATCTCCATCACCTCGCAGGAGAGATGCTTGCCACAATTCTATCAAGACCTGCGACAGATTCATTTACACCTTGCTGACATCTACATGAATCCATTGCAAGTTCTGCCATTTGTCACCGCAACCAAGTGTTTACAAGACATTTCATGAATTCCAGAAAAAGAGTTTTTAGTGCCTTTAAGGCAGGGCTGGGGGAGTCAGGGAGCCAAGATGTCTAAAAAATACAATTAAAGGCTTTTATCTCGGATAATTGTCTATTGTGTCTGGAACTACATGTTCCCTATTTGCTTTAATGTGCCGCCTACCTGGATCCCAAAGAGTCTCCAAAGGTGATATTTTAACCGTAGTAGATCCTGGTGAGCTGAGTCAGCGCCTTGACTTTAATATGTCTCGTATACTCAAACACTGAGAACTCCCTGCAATCATTCCCAACTCAGTTCCTATATACCTGTTGGCTTTGGGTGCTCCCACCTATCCAAAATGATATAAAAACCTAAAATGGAGATTGGGAGTCATCATGATGACCAAATAAAGCAAGTGTACTGATCTACAAACTCAAGAGAAGATATCTATCCGTGTTAGCTTTGGGCGCTCCCACCCATCCAAAATGATATAAAAACTAACATGGAGATTGGGAGTCATCATGATGACCAAGGAAAGCAAGTGTACTGATCTAGAAACTCAAGAGAAGATATCTATCCGTGTTAGCTTTGGGTGCTCCCACCCATCCAAAATGATATAAAAACTAACATGGAGATTGGGAGTCATCATGATGGCCAAATAAAGCACCTTTATTGATCTACAAACTCAAGAGAAGATATCTATCCATGTTAGCTTTGGGTGCTCCCACCCATCCATAATAATATAAAAATATAACATGGAGATTGGGAGTCATCATGATGACCAAGGAAAGCAAGTGTACTGATCTAGAAACTCAAGAGAAGATATCTATCCGTGTTAGCTTTGGGTGCTCCCACCCATCCAAAATGATAAAAAAAACTAACATGGAGATTGGGAGTCATCATGATGGACAAAGAAAGCACCTTTATTGATCTACAAACTCAAGAGAAGATATCTATCCATGTTGGCTTTGGGCGCTCCCACCCATCAATAATAATATAAAAATATAACATGGAGATTGGGAAGTCCTCATGATGGCCAAGGAAAGCAAGTCTACTGATATGGGAACTAAAGAGACAATATAGATCCGTGTTAGTTATGGGTGCTCCCACCCATCAATAAAAATATGAAAATATAACATGGAGATTGGGAAGTCCTCATGATGGCCAAGGAAAGCAAGTCTACTGATATGGGAACTAAAGAGACAATATAGATCCGTGTTAGTTATGGGTACTCCCACCCATCAATAAAAATATGAAAATATAACATAGAGATTGGGAAGTCCTCATGATGGCCAAGGAAAGCAAGTCTACTGATATGGGAACTAAAGAGACAATATAGATCCATGTTAGTTATGGGTGCTCCCACCCATTCAAAATTATATAAAAATATAACATGGAGATTGAGAGTCATCATGTCATCATCTGGTGCAGTCACTGTTCTGGTGCAGTCACTGTTCTGACAGCCATGGGTACGAGCTGTCAGAATACAATAGCCCTGCAGGGGAGTTTCACCCATCCACACTGTTTAATTTGGATGGGGGAATAAAGCGATGCCAGTATATGGCCAGCATTAATCTGCATTGGATTTGGTTATAATGAGGAGGTAGAGAATGAGAATAAACGCATGGCACTACAGTACCCGCAGTGTCAACCACACCAGTAAAGGAAACATAATCCTTACATTGGCTTCAGCTAGCTTAATGGTTAGGTCTGCTTGTTTAACACTTTCTTACTTTTCCTTTTCTGTTCATTCCCTTTTCTCCTTTGATGTATTTTTGTCCCCGTTCTTTTGTAATGGATCCTGCTACAGGGACTATCAATGTGGTGATCCATTTAAAGTTGGTGGTAGGGAGCACTGATATGTAAAGTAGTTGTTATCTCTAGCAGTCTCATGTCACTGGTCTCTTACAGTCTACCATAACATTACACATACTAGATATAATGTGAGGCTCTTTGGTGGCATCGGGGGCCACAGTTTTGAGCACCCGTCTGTGTGGTAAGTTGGCCACCACTGGTTTAGATAAACAGACCCGTGAAGGTATCTCCTGAACATATCCATACACTGTATTTAGCTGGTAAATAAAGTTAGGGTGTGAAAAGGTTCATAATTTTGTTGTCTTCTGTTTCACATTTGTATATATATACACTACTTACATTATGCTTTTCCCACGTAGCCATTGTAATCAATGCAAGATACACCTCATGATGTCATATCTTCCAGTCTAAGGTCCATGACACATCATGGGCTACTGGCAACTGCCCGGCATGTGAGGACAGAAACATTGCAGCCGCTACCGGTGGAGAGAAATATGGAAGCTGTTAACTTGGGTTTTAAAGATGTATGACCCTTTGCTGCCATCCTGGTCCTGGCTTTATTCACCAAGTGAAGCCATTCTCAACCTGAGTTACATCAAACCCTAGAGTTCCTCCAGACGTAGCTAGGGGTTTCCTGACCTGTGGCTGATTGACCACCCTTCTGATGGTGCCTCCATAATTCCTAATCCAAAGCCACTGGGCACAGCCAGCACCATGTCACCAATTACTTTTTAGCCTTTTGTAAGGGTGGCATTCTGACCACCAACGTAAAGGGGGGGCATGCTTCATCCTGACCACCAATTAATTCATTTTAGCAGGGGGTTCCCTGACTTGCGGCTGACTGATCACCCTTCTGATGGTACCTCCATAATTCCCAATCCAAAGCTACATGCTTCATCCTGACCACCAATTAATTCATTTTAACAGGGGTTCCCTGACCTGCGGCTGACTGATCACCCTTCTGATGGTGCTTCCATAATTCCCAATCCAAAGCCATTTGGCAGAGCCAGCACCATGCCACCAATGATCTTTATAGCCTTCTGTAAGGGTGGCATTCTGACCAACAGAATGGTGGAATTCTTCCTCCTGTCCAATAATGAATTCATTTTAGCAGGGGTTCCCTGAGACCTACAAATTATTTTAAGGGTTCCTCTGGGATAAAGAGGCTGAAAAACGCTGGCCTAGAGTGTCACTACTCCGGAACAAGCATGCAGCCAGGCACAATTTGAAAGGCCTGAAAAGTCCTGCAAGGCTTGTTCTGGGTCAATGACTCATTAGGTAGTGAAGTCAGGATCAGGGTGGCAGTCTTGGTGCTGGTACCTTTATTAAGCACTTAAAAATGGTATCTCATATGTCTATATCCTCATTGGGTCATATCTCATCTTCTCCACCTAAAAATTGCAGTTGTGCCAGCTGTAGTATCACCACAGTTGGAGGGCCGGAGTTTGCCAACCCCTGATCTATATCCTCATTGGGTCATATCTCATCCTCGCCACCTAAAAATTGCAGTTGTACCTAACTGGGGGGGCTGGAGTTTGCCCACCCCTGATCTATATCCTCATTGGGTCATATGTCATCCTCTCCACCTAAAAATTGAAGTTGTACCTACTGTAACTGGAGGGCTGGAGTTTGCCCTCCCCTGGTCTATATCCTCATTGGGTCATATCATACCTAACTGGAGGGTCAGAGATTGCCCACCCCAGACCTATATCCTCATTGGGTCATATCTCATCCTCTCCACCTAAAAATTGCAGTTGTACCTAACTAGAGGGCTGGAGTTTGCCTACCCTTGCTCATATTCCTTGCTCCAATGCCGGTTGGCTCTAAAGCTGGACTGATTGCCTCCTGAACTCTGTATCAAAGTATTCAGATGGCAGTACAGAAAGAACCATAGGCATTGACCTGGATGACCATGACGTCAAATCCAGCGTTGGTACCACCAATACTATGAAAGACAATTCTAGTAAAGAATGTTAAATTCGTGACTTAATTAACCAAGCTATGACGCAAGTGTTTTTTGCCATACCGATCGTTATTTCAGGCATGTGATTGCTATCTTAAGCACTCAATACGGATTGATATGGCAAATAAGGATTGATCTAGCTCGGTGAACTGAGCCTTTGGTCATAATACATCAATTCTGTCCATCCCTTCATTCTTGACTTACCGGCCGCATCGCTTAGTCTTGGGGCAGTTAGTAACTGGTCCAATACCCTCCCCAGGAGAGCCTCTGGGGTATCTGGGGCAAGCAGCGGCCCAGGAGGAGAGAGTGTCCATCCACCAGACCCAGGTGGCGGGGTGACAGGTTCTGAAGGTGACAGTTCATCCGAAGAGAAGGAAAGAGGGGAACGCAGTCCATCCGGCAGCTCCAAGCAGTCGTGGGAAGGCGTGGGTCCGGCACTGGGGTCTTCCTCGCATTTCTCCCCACCAGACGAATCTCCCGGGTTATCCCTCAGGAAGGAGGGCAGGATTTTCGACACGCTCTGCCTGCGGTGGAGGTGCTTAGGACCTGAGATATGAGAGCTCTGCTTCTTTAAAAATTTCTCCAAAGGCTTCATGGTTTGAAGGGGGAGTGGGGGTCGGTAAGACGGCAAAGCGGAGCAGAACAGGGGGCTGAGCCCCCCCAAAAGATCAAGGCACTAGATGGCAGAAGATTTACTGGGCATCCTGAATATGGGGGTGATGGCTAGGAAAGTATGTATATCTTCTCCACATAAAAACGAGGGGGCATCAAAGAGGAGACCGCGTCCAAATCGTCAACGATGGTATTCCTGAGCACCCAAAAGGACAAGATCGATGGCATCAAATGGAATAAAGATCAGATGGTATTGGTGACAAAATTGAAGATGCCAGCTCCTCCTTCCAAAACCAGTGCCAGGATCCCTCCGCAAAGGGAAAATTAAATGATCCTGTAATGTGGAGCTGTGATGGCCCCCGGGGGGGGGGGCGGGGGGGTTTCTCCTTGAAATCAGATGAGTGTCCTCTGCCCCCCTTGTCTTGCAGCAGGTGACAGACGCTCTCCTGATGTCACCTGTCTCTCCCCGCAGCTGTCTCTCTCTGCTCGTGCACGGCGGTCACTCTGCTGCTCGTGCACGACTGTCTCTCTGCTCAGCTCCCGGGGATGTCTAATTTCCACCTGCCCCCCGTCTGCCCCTCTTTCCTTGTCCCCCTCCTCCTTTGTTCCCCCTAGCTTCCCAGAGGAAGGAGGGAGGGAGTGAGGCAGAGGGAGGGGGTGCTGGCTATAGAGGGGTGGTGATGCCTAATTAAAAGCTGTGAAACTGACAGCAGGAAAACCGAGTGCTGGCAGAGAGGTGTGCAGTCCTACAATGAGCTCCATGCTGCCAGTAGTCTAGGTGCAAGAGAGAAGCTGCTGTCCTCCTCCCTCAGCCTGTGAGGAGGCTCTGTCAGTGAAGGAGGGTCCCACATTGAGGAGAGGACCCTGCATGTGTGTGTGGGGGGAGGCAGGGACAGGGACTGCGTGCTGCGTCTGTCCCCTCCCTCATCTCTCTCCTCCCTCAATCTATTTACCTGTGTCTGCTTCCTCAACGTGTCACTCTGCACCCCATCCACACGGCTGGCTGGCTGCCATTCACAGCCTCTCCTGGCTGCACAGCGCCTTCTTGGACTGCTTAACAGGCACCTTGCACTGCACTGGTCTAAAGACCACCAACAGTCCACTCATAGTCCATATAAAGTGAAGGGAATTTATCTGGAGCATTTGCCCATGTCTACCCATCAGCTTCTGTGTTTCAAATTTGTGGCCATGAATCAGGGGTGGGCAAACTCTGCCCTCCAGCTGTGGTAGAACTACAAGTCCCATTACAATGTTCTCACAGCAACAGGCATGACTCCCAGTGACAGATGCATCATGGGATTTGTAGTTTCACCACAGCTGGAGGGCCAGTTTGCCCACCCCTGCACTAAAACTCTGGCCCTCAAGCTGTGGTGGAACTACAAGACCCAGGAGGCATTGCAAGATTCTCACAGGCATGACTCCCAGAGACAGGTGCATTATGGGATTTGTAGTGGCACCACAGCTGGAGGGGTGCAGTTTGCCCCACCCCCTCCTCCAAATGCTGGTGTAAAGACTTACCTAATAAGATGCCGCTTGATGTATATATCTTTTTCCTTCCGCTCGTTTCAAGTCTTACCCTCAGCGCTTGTGTCGATGTCCAATGCTTCGGTGTCTATTCTTCTTACAGTGTCCCACAGAGACACTTCCACGTGCGCGTTTTCAGGGTGCGTTCACTGCCTTACATTATAGCATTAGAGACAAAATCTGGAGCAGATTTGCACTGCAACCAATCAGCTTCTCTGCCTCATTTTCAAATCTTACCTGAGCAAACTGAAGAGAAATGCTGATTGGTTGCCATGGGCAACTGCTCCAGATTCTGTTTGCCCCAGTTTTGATAAATGCCCCCCAATGTGTCCAGACGCCTTTATTTAGACGCTAAGCATACAAGGTGGACAGCAATGTTTCGGAACCATCAGCGGTCCCTTCATCAGACAAAACAGTGACCTAGTGTTCACTACCTTACATTGTCTCACTCCTCCTTGGAGACCTTATGTGCCCATGCGCCTGTGTCCTCAGTACGCACCCTCTACTACCCTGAAGTTCGGCGTCCAGGAAAAGTGTCTGGGCACACTGGGGCAGTTCCATACATCGTGGCGGCTACGCTGCTCGCTAGCAGTGCGTTAGGTTAAAAAGCGCAGAGAGTTGTCTAACAGTGTAACTGAAAAAACTGAAGAGAGAAGCTGATTGGTTATTATCGGCAACTGCACCAGATTCGGTCTGCTCCAGTTTAGATACATTCCTCAGCCGCCCTGTGCCTGGCACTACACTGGTCCAAAGAAAACCAATAGTCCACTCCTAACGTAGTCCATTCATATTGCCTCCTATTTTTATAGGAAGAGAGTGGGGTTGGGCCTCCAAACGTCTTGGCCTCCTCATTTGATCTTCTTTTTGATATTACTTTGGAATATCAAAAAGGAAATGGACTGGCAACTCATGGTGTGGCGCTTCTACCTCAGATCCATTGTTTTACATTACAAACCAGGGAAATGGTGGGAATCCTTTGGTGTGTGGGAGCTGCCAGCCTGGTAACCAGATGTACAGACACCACCTCTATACTATTGGATAACCATACCAACAGCACCAGAGCACCATCACCATTGGAAGGTTGCAGAACAGAAGGAGTGCGGGTGGTTCTTGGAAACAATACCAACAGGAGAACCCTAGGGTCCATTGTTATTTATCTTTGGTCCTATGCTTCCTCAACGTGTCACTCTGCACCCCATCCACAGGTCTGGCTGGCCGAGTGCCCTACCAGCTTTCCATTCTCCTGATTGCTCACCACCTCATTGCCCTAAATATCTGCTGTACTCCAGCATGTGATGTTACATTTTTCTATGTATCCTCAGTCCTGACTTCTGATTGATTCCCCTTCTTTACAGCCCATTTCCTCCGGATTCTATTAGTAGCCCCCCCTGTCTGTGTCCCCTATTTCTCCTGCAGACTTCTTGCCATTCAGTCACTCTACTTTACACCCCTTCTTGTGCCCCCTCATTCATTCTGCCGATTATCCCTGAGCAGGAATGTCCCTCCTTTTCCCAGTTATTGTCCCCTCTTCTCTGTTGGCCTCATTCACACCAGCAATGACATATACGCATTTCTATGTGTTTATAGGAAAACTATAAATGTGTGTAATCGTAAATGCGATCATTCACCTGCATTTAGATGCATTCAGTTTAGCTGCGTTAGGAGAAAATAGAATTTAGTACCTCCATGGGCAGTTGAGATACTCTGAGGGAGTCTGAACGCATGGGAACCCGCTTAAACGCAAGTACATTTAAATGCAGGATCTGGGAAGCGTAAAGTTTGCTTATACTTCCTAGATAATGTCTTCTGCGTTAAAGGGCTCATTCATGCGGGCGCAGAGGTACCGTAAAAAACGTCTGGATCTCTGCGCCGGGATGCCACAGGTGTTGTGTACAGGCCGCCACTACAAATCAATGTCAGGCTGCGTCTGTACGCTGGTAAATGCTGCTCTGAGCGTAGACTTGAGTACAGGTACTGATGATTGTCTCTGGACGCAGACTGTCTGCATCTAGGGGTGTACATCCATACCTACACAGAAGCACATGCTCTTAGCAGCGCTTACCAACCACCGCTGCAGCCTGTGAATGATTTGTACTGACAGGCTGTACGCAACACCTGTGGCTCCCGGACGCAGAGGTCTGGCCATTTTTTACGGTACACTCTGTGCCTGCCAAGGGCTCTGTGCCCATCAGGGCCATCTCTAATACTGATTGCACCCTGGGCAAACATTTTCTTGGGCCCCCCTGCCCTTACCCACCATGCCTCGCCCCCTACGCACCCTGCCATGTCATTTAACTCTCCACCTATCAGAAAGAGATGTGAAACGTCACACAGTCACGCTATGCAGAGTATGGCAGGGGTGGAGCAACACTATGCGATGTTGATCAACATAGTAAACAGAATGGTGCCGCTGCGGAGGTGTAACTGGGAACCTCATGGCCCCGATGCAAGAAACAATGACTCTGAAACCAAGTATCCGAGTATTCCTAGTGGTACCCTTTCTGCAGTAGGGTGGCACTGGTCTTTAAACTGGCACCTGATCACCCCCCAACCCAATGCACCCCACTCACCCACCTTGTGCAGCTTCCACAGCGCCTTGACTTTGTGAATGCCGTGCTTGCCCTCTTCCAGGCACTGGTAGCAGACCGGCATCTGTCACTGGATGCGGTACATGCTGTAGTTCTCCAGCTCGTAGTCCGTGCAGGTAGAGATCTTGCGGGGCTCAGCCTCCAGCTCACCCTGCCCTGCACGGGGAGCACCAGCCGGTGCATGGCCAGTGGTCACCGGAGCCCTAAATAAACCAAATGCAGGCTAGCACGAATGTAATGTTGACTTGTGTTTACATGCTTTTAGACGCATTTAGACGCGCCAGGGTATCAAATCTTCCCTTGCATCCACATAATTGTATTTACTCTAAGTACAGCTAAACTGAACGCACTTAAACGCACAGGGTGAACTAGGGTCCGTTCACACCCTCCCGTCTGCTAAGGCCTAATTCACACTGCTGCGCATATACGTGCTTACTTTCATATAGTACCATATGCAACATATGCAAGTAAATGGCTCCATACACATAGCTGAGTATGGAGCCGTATATTTGCGTAGCATAAAAATGCAGAATGGAACCGAGATGCGTCCGGGCAGCGTATTTCAGCGTATTTACATGCATGTACGCGCGTCCAGTTCAATAAAATTTCTATTACGAATGATGCATTGTGGGATTGCAAATAGTGCACGCATATACGCGCATGCACTCGTATTATACGCGTATATACACAATATACAATTTTGCTCTTGCGTTGTGTGTGAATGAGGCCTAAAACTCTAATTCTAGCGATGCTGCTAGTGCGTTGTGACAGCTCCGGCAGTATGCGCTGTATCACACACTGCCAGAGCTGTCACTGTTTACCTTTTTATTTAACCAATTTCTTTATCGGTTGTATATGAAGTGTACACTCCCTACAGGTCCCTGCAGTGCGGTGAGATGTCGCA